AGCATTTTGGACTAATCCAACATTTATATTGTATTAAGAAAACTTTTTCATTACTTAATTTATAAACTACTTTCCACTTGTTGTCGGTCCACCGTCAGACCATTGTCGAATCAATTTCGGACCGCTGTTGGACTAACATTAAATTCATTGACATTTTTTTGGTCGTATTCACAGCTTAATAGAACAAACATTAAAGCTTCCAATTCTTTGGAAATACTTTTTATTTTTCTAGCTAAAATATACAAAATTTAAGTAAAAAACAATAGAATTATGCATTGATAAATTCGTTTTTTTTTTCTAAATTATAGATATTTTTATAAAATGTATATTGTGTATAATGGTATTCACACTTTAAAATACATTATTCACAGTTTAATAAATATATTAATTCACTAATACGCAATTTAATATTTGCATGCATACCTTCATTCATATTTGAACATAAAATTTATATAAAATATACAACTTAATACAGTCCGGTTTTAGTTTAATACATAAAATTCACAACATAACATAATACAATACATTATACACTAATTCACATATTTAAAAAAGTCAAATCCAAATTCTATTACCACCACATACCACCACCAGCCACATGTGTCACTGTTGCAATCATCTTTCATTCCAAATTAGATCTGTATATAAAAATCATTAACTGCCAAATTAAATACTATATTCATAATTTAATAAACAAATTAATTCACTTATTATGAGTTTAATGCAAAATAATTATAAAAACTAATACTCTTACATATTTATACAACACAAAAAATAAATATATTCACAAGAAAATTAATACAAACATTCATACATAAATCACTCATATTTTAACACAAAATTCATTAAAATTCACAACTTAATACAATTAATTCACATTTAAACAAAAAATTCATAGCTTAACGCAGTCAGTTTAAAGTCTTATACACAAAAATCATAGTTTAATACACAAAATTAGGAGCTTAATATAGCCAATTCACAGTTTAAACAAAAAAATCACAACTTAATGTAATTAATTCACAGTTCAAAACACAAAAATCATAGCTTAATACATAAAATTCACAACTTATTACAATAAATTCACATTTTAATAAACAAAAAGTATAAAATTCACAGTCATATTATCAACTTAAAACTCTTAATACAATCAATTCTAAGTTTAATACATAAAATTCACAGATTAATACACAAAAACTATATATTCACATCCATATTCTCAAATTAAAACTTACATTTTTACGCTCATATATGGAAGCATGTCTATGTATTAAATTGTGAATTTTATATATTCAGTCGTGAATAAAATTCACAGCTTAATATATAAAAATTTACAATTTAATACAATATAATTATAGTTCATTTACAAGTATAATACAGTTAATTCACTCTTTAGTACCCCAAATTCACAGCTTAATATAACAAATTCACAGTTTAATACACAAAAAAATATACATTTGCATATACCTTCGTATGTAGAGGCTAGTGCTTCTTTTAAAATTTAATTTACACAATATTCATAATTTAAACTTTATATACTTTATTCAAAATTATAGAAAATCATATCTACGCATAAATGCTTCTTTCATCTCATATTTTAGAAAAAAACACAAAATTCATAAAAAATTGCACAGTTTAATACAATCAATTCAGAGTTTAATACAGTCAATTCACAGTTTAATATACAAAATCTGCAGCTTAATACAATAAATTCATAATTTAATATACAAAAAGTATGTTTTCATAGTCTTATTCTCAACTTAAAACTTATATTTTAAGACTTTCATTCATAGTTTAATAAAGTAGTTCAGGACTCTCATTTATATAATTCACAATATTAGTTCAAGACTATCATTCACAATTTAATGCAACTTAACAACTTAAAAATCATTAAGATATTTAATCAAATATTGTGCGAATTTTAAGACTAGATAATATTTCAATTATTAAATTCTATATAATTAGTCTTACTTTAAAAGTTCATTTACATATATTTATATATTTTCGCAACTTGTCATATAGATTAAATTTTGTTTGTTTATTAATTATTCCTATTTCCTTAGATATGTCAGACTAGGTATATGTAAACAATAAAAAAATATACCTCTTTATTGTGCTTGTGTCTTCAGAGTAAATGGAAGCAATTAAATATGGAGAACGGCAAAACCTTTACCACTCTCGGTCAAATCACCTGCACAGATACTGCACACACATATAGCACATACATACACCTTTAACTTTTTGACTTCTCCATAACATTACCGGAGAAAAATAACTCTGATTTCTCACTTCTTGTAAATCTAAACTTTTGTTGTTAACGACAATGCTTGAAAACCACATGAAATGCTTGTCGGAAAATATCTCTGCCGGAACTCGTGACCAAAAAGCACACCTAGTCGTGGTGAACTCACCGGGACGCCTAAAGAGTCGTCGGAAAACCTTGTCGGAAAACATCAACAAAAAACATCGCATACTCAGATATGATTTACATTCTGTTGTGATTGGTGATAGTTTAAACAAAAACATTATCGGAAAACTCTCATGGATGTCGGTTTCTGATACCTGACAGAGGAGACGACGATGAAAGAAGTCGCCAGAGGAGAAGAAGGGGAAGAGATCTGTCGGAAATCTTAGATCTGATTTCGTTGATGAGAAGAGGAGGACGTGGTCCAGATCTGATCTATTCGAGATCTACCGTATCTTAGTGAAAATCTGGTGGTTTTGGTGGCTCTCCAGAGCAGATCTGAAGAAAAAGTAGTGGCTCGTCGGAACAGATATGTCGTGGAAGGAGGACACGACGACGACTGTGGCGGTTCACCACAACAACGACAAAGACGAGACATCGGTGGTTCCAGGTCTGAAACTCTGATGATAGTTTTAAGTGTTATCGTCGGTGGTCGGAGGCTGTGGCAGGGAGGTGTCGTCGTCAGCGGTACCAGTGGTGAGGCGGCCGTCGACGGTAGTGGATGGTGGTGTTCACCAGAGATGCTTGAAGGAGGTGAGAGGATATTTATTTTGTTTCGGGAGAATAATGAAGAAATGGTAATCAGATCTAACATATGTAATATGAATGGTTCTTAGGGTTCTTAACCTTTAGTAGTTCTCCTTTGAACCTTTACCTATATATATATATATAT